CCACCCCGACAACGCCTCAGATCTTACGCATCGCTACCCCAACCCTGGTGTCCGCAAACCTCAATCTGCAACTCAACACTTTATCGTATATTCTTTATTCCACTGACCTTCAGAAGTGAAATTTGGCCTTTTCTCTTCAGGGCATCCATTGTTGTCCCCGAATTCACCCGACTTCATATATTTCTTGTCCTTAGACAAAGCTGACTTTTCGCGCTTGTTTTAATGTCTTCAGGTTCGATGCTTTAATCGGGTGGCTACCCGATTCCGCGGGTGGCCCACCCGTCACATTTGGTCGCTGATTTACGGGCTGTTAGCCATTTTTCTTTTTTCTTAATCTTTTTATTTTTTTTTTTTCGTTTCTGTTTTCTGAAGTAAAAAACAAGGTTAACATAGTTTTTTTTTTCATTTCTCTTTCTTTCCAGTCGTTCCAGTTCACTCCCCCTTTTTAAAATCTTCTTTCTCGTCCTCTTTCTTTTGTTTAATAATATTTCTTCTTATTTTTTAACTCTGGTGTGTGTGTGTGTGTGTGTGTGTGTGTGTGTGTGTGTGTGTGTGTGTGTGTGTGTGTAAATCAACAGAAGTTGGCGTGATAAAAAAACAGTGATTGATATAAAATATGAAAAAAATGACGCAGAACAAGGTACTTGAACTTTATAAAGTTTCAAATACTTGAAACTAATCTTGAGCAAAATACATTTTATCATTATATATGTGTGTGTGTATATATATATATATATATATATATATATATATATATATATAAAAGTGAACATTGAAGTCAACCCTTATTAGGCGACAATCTGTTTCATGCTAGACGCAATCGTCAGGCCACGTGATGTATATATGTATAACTATATATATATATATATATATATATATATATATATATATATATATAGTTATGTGTGTGTGTGTGTGTATGTATGTTTTATATATATATATATATATATATATATATATATATATATATATAGTTAATTAGTTAGTTAGTTAGTTAGTTTATGCAAACTTAGGTAATCCGTATGGGTAGACCTGAGGAGGATGATATCCAGAGAGCTCAATGTAAAATTCAGAGCAGATATGTTTGAATAAAAGAACAGACCACGTTAAGATTCCATGTAATAAAGTTATTTCACCATAACCCTTTAACAGGTTCTGGAACATCAGACTTTACTTCCAAAAGTTGAAATGAAAAATGAAAGAAATTTACACGTTTTTTACGGACCTCATCAAGTATACAAGCAAAGTTAACGAAGTGAGGAAGTGAGGGGGAGAGGATATGAGTGTGTTATTTGTATCATTTTAGTTTCCTATTTTAACCCCAGTGTGTCGGCTGGATGTTGCTCAAATTTAACGCGTTTCGTCTCTAGATATAGATGGCTAAGGGGTGAATATATATATACATACAAGTATAACCAACAAATACTATTCTTAAAAGAGTGCTCAATACAGAGTAAAGCAAATATAATATAAGTGAAGGTATATATATATATATATATATATATATATATATATAAAAGAGACAGATAGGTATAAAGGTGGGTAAATCAAATACGTAGATATTAGTAACCGTATATGCATGCATTATCGTGCATACAAAGGTGATCCTACAATATCAAAAACAAACAACGCGCATGCGTGAAATTAGAAATATAAAATGGCGATAATTTGAACATTGCATTCTCTATATTGGCTGCAAATGATTTTAGTATAGAAATCCTCTGAGAATTCGGAAGAAAGGGATTTTCAGTGGTCAAGAATTTTTGATAGAATTTTTATTAGATGCATATATCCGCTGTAAATTGTTTTACAACAGAAATCCACTGAAAATTAGGAAAAAATCGATTATTTGTCTTTTATTTATTCATTTTAATACCACGACATTTCAGGAATTATGAGAAGATGACTGCCTATAAATCTCTTTCTTCTGCTTTCTGTGATGATAATAATGGCATGCATTCAGGAGGAAATATAATGGAATCGTTTTTACCCGTTTTTTTTTTCTCTACTGTTTGGAATTCAAAGTTTACCTTTTATTAGACTGGTTACCAACCAAGGCTACTGTGGTACTTGTGCCCCTAGCTTGGTGCAAAAGACAACGATTTAACACTTTCACAAAGTATGATTTTCCGAAATTGAACGCATAAGACTAGCCCTGGATTTGAACTCGGGACGTCGATTCCACTTTCTGCGCCAATAATCGTACGCTACTAAACGTGACGGTTTATAGAAAGAAAAAAAAAGGAGGAAGAGATTGTAAGAGGTTAAGAACTGAAATAATTGTTAATCGTCAAATAATATGTATTTCTCCAAAATGAAAGTATACAACTCATCCACAGCTGGTGTCGGCTGCTTTTTTTATTAAAAAAATTCTCTCAAACAATCGCAACACGCATGCGCAATTATACAGTAAGAGTTTTAAAAAATGACTGGCTAAAAACCAAAGGACGGCTTTTACTTCTTTTAAAATATTGGATTTTCAGAAACTTCTCCATTGTGTCAGGTGTATAAAGGGCATGGAAGATTATCAGGTATCTGTAATTGAATAATTTTCATTGAAAATAGGTAAAAACTGACCGTGTCAGAAGTAAGGATTAAAAATATTTTGTTCTTATCTACAATTTCTTTTTCTTTTCTCTTTGTTTTTGCTTTTTGTGTTGTTTTTTATTTACTTTCGTTTCTTTCATTTTTTATTTTCGGCATTTTTGTTTTGTTTTGCTTCTTTTAAGTAAGTCTTTTATTCCTTCTACATATTCCTTTTCCCATTCGATCTTTCACTTTTTAAAATATGGTACGCAGTTACTTCTTTTCTGGATAAAAGAACGGAATGGTCGAAAGGTTATTCTATCTATCTATCTATCTATCTATCTATCTATCTATCTATTAGGTTGGTGCAGAAATAATGTATTTTTTTGACGTTCAACTTAACGTCAAAAAACGACATTATTTTTGCACCAATCTAATATCTATCTCTTTTTAGCTTTGTAGCTAGCTCGCGCTTTCATTCACCATAACTATCTATACATCTGTGCAATAGTGTCCATATCTATCTATCTATCTATCTATCTATCTATCTATCTATTCATATCTATTTATCACTTCTTTTTATCTTTGTAGATAACTTGCTCTTTCATTAAACGTAACTATCTAGATATCTATGACATTCTTAATCTATCTATCTATCTATCTATCTGTCTGTCTGTCTGCCTGTCTGTATGTCTGTCTATCTATCTCTTTTTCTTTTCTACCTTGCTCTTTCATGCTCTGTCATTGTTTATGTCTGTTTATCTATCTATCTATCTATCTATCTATCTATCTCTTTTATTTTTTCTTTTTGTAACTAGATTGCTCTTTCATTAACCATAACTATCTATATATCTATGTGATTCTGTCTATATCTATCTATCTATCTATCTATCTATCTATCTCTATTTATCTCTCTGTCTCTATCTATCTATCTATCTATCTATATCTCTTTTCTTTTTATCTTTGTAGCTAGTTTGCTCTTTCATTAAACTTATCTATCTATCTATCTATCTATCTATCTATCTATATATATATATATGTGTGTGTGTGTGTGTGTGTGTGTGTGTGTGTGTGTGTGTGTGTGTGTGTTTTGTGGGAACTTACCCATAATAATAATAATGGACTATTCCTGACATTATAAATACTGCGCCTCTCAAGAGGTATGAGGATATTGTAAGACGAGGGAGATAATTGAGAGCATATTGTAAGGACATTGAATAGTGATACTTGTCGAGACAAATATAGTTCACTTTCTAACCAAATCTGATAGTCATTACTAATACTTCTACTTCTTTTGTATTATTTTCTGTTGTAATATATCTTTGTATTCCATACCTGTGTTTGTGTTATTCTTTCATTGGTTCTAACCTTGGACCATCACCGTGGTACAAGGAACTTGGACCATAACAATATATAATGTTTGTGTGTGTCTATTTCTGAGGGTAAAACGGTAAATCCATAGACTGGCATGAAATTGATTTGAAATTTTCACTGTATAATGTTTTATGTTTCTGATTAATGTGGAAATATTGAGTTAATTACATTGACTAGAAAAAGTTTATCTTGAAAAAATAAATATTTCCTGCGCAAAAATATACGTTTTTTTTTTCATCTGTGGTTTATAGACGCATATCTGCGCATTTAAGTCTATCTATCCCTCTTTAACGAATCTTGTCTTTCCGTTACGAACGGACTCACCAAAGTTCCATATTTCAGAAACTAGGCAACATTAAAGTTCCTCGCGCTTTGTTTATTCTGTTGACTAGAAAAAGAGCAGCTTCTATCATCTTCATCATCAAACCCATGAAAGGGCGTAGTCATAGTGTCGCAAAACGCCTGACCAGCTCCCTTCAAACGTCTCAGTTGCGTGCCAATATCTGTTTTATTTACGAACACAGCTCCTATGGCAGTGGTTCCCAAACATTTTTTCTTTCTCTGGGCCGCATTTTCGGAATTAAAATTTGCTCACGCCCCACCAAAGTCCAGGTGAGAAGGCGCAAGAAGCCCTACGGCAAAGAATGTCCAGAGGGAGGGTTAAAGGGAAATAACATTGGATTCGAAGTCAGAACATAATAATTGATAACTCTCTCCTCCAATTTGCAGACCGGAATTACTATATTCTTAATACTTGATATAATGCAAAAATATCACATTGATAAAATCAGTCAGTAATTATTTATAACTATTTATACTGGGACTCATGCATGCAATTACAAGTAATCCATAATAATATTTTAAAATTTGAAATCATATTTTTGACATATGAATTTTTCTGAAACGGTTTCTAAATCTTTCATTGTCATTCAATCATTCCGCCTCACCTGCTATCCTCTTCCGCCTCACCTGCTATCCTCTTCCGCCTCACCTGCTATCCTCTTCCGCTTCTCCTCCTTTCACTTCCGCCGAACCTGTTATCCTCTTCTGCCTCAACTGCTATCCTCTTCCGCTTCACCTGGTATCATATTCCGCCAAAAATGCTATCCTCTTACGCCTCATATACTAACCTTTTCCGCCTCAACTGGTACCCTCATCCGCCTCACCTGCTATACTCTTCCTCCGCACCTGCTATACACTTCCGCCTCAACTGCTATACTCTTCCGCAGCACCTGGTACCATCTTTTGCCTCAAATGCTATCCACTTCCTCATCAACTGCTATCCTCTCCCGCGTCACCTGCTAACCTCTTCCGCTTCAACTGGTACCCTCTTCCGCCTAACCTGCTATCCTCTTCGGTTTCACCTGCTATCCTCTTCCGCCTCACCTGCTGTCCTCTTCCTCTTCACATGCTATCCTCTTCCGCCTCACCTGCTATCCTCTTCCGCCTCACCTGCTATCCTCTTCGGTTTCACCTGCTATCCTCTTTCGCCTCACCTGCTATCCTCTTCCTCTTCACATGCTATGCTCTTCCGCCTCACCTGCTATCCTCTTCCGCTCTGCAACGTTTGGGAACCGCTGACTGATAGTCAAGAGGAAGTGAACTGTTCAGTCTTATAGCAAATATAATTGCAGATTTTTAACGGAATAAAAAAACTGCTGATTGTTATTGATCATTGTCCTTTTATAGAACAGTGCCTTTTATATGACTTGCAATATTATCCTCCTCGTATAATATGCTAGTCTTTTTACATAATATTTTTATACTATTATTTCTTCTGTATAACATGGTCCCGCCCTTTTATAGTCTAGACGCACTGAATAGCCTACATCATTCAGATTTCGAGCGCTTGTATTTTGTGGCTTGCTAGCAGTTGATATTTTTTTTCAGCATTCCACGTTAAACTTGAGAAAAGCGACATAAAAATTTTGAGCTTAACAAATCTATTGTTTTCACAATGTATGGCATTTAAAACCTGTCCAGAAAATGTTAAAGTCTTCAGTCAGTTTTTACTCATTATGCTTCCCAGAAATTTCAACATTATTCTCAATATTTGTTGGTAGAACCACATCTCTGTTGATTCTAGACTTTCTGATTGTTAGTAACTGTATCTTTGTAGTCTCTATTCTCCTTAAGACTTCCTCATTTCTCACATGCTCTGTCCATGGCATTCTCAATATTCGTTGACGGAACCACATCGCTTTTGCATCGATCCTTTCTGATTGTTAACAACTGTTTCTTTGTACTTCCTATTCTTGTTAAAGCTTCCTCATTTCTCACATGCTCTGTCCATGATATTCTCACTATTTGTAGGTCGAACCACAATTTCTGAATAAAGTCTCTGTTGCTTCTAGTTTTCTGATATCTAGAATCATTGTCTTTGTACTTCCATTTTTCCTTAAATCTTCCTCATTTCTCGATTCGTCTTTCCTTGATGGAACCGCGTCTCTCTCTCTCTCTCTCTCTCTCTCTCTCTCTCTCTCTCTCTATCTATCTATCTATCTATCTATCTATCTCTTCATCTGTGAAGAAATTGCCAAATATTCACTGGCATAGAAGAGATGAGATATTACATAAGACACCGCGTCCATTTTCGTTGCTTCAAAAATGGTTTACTGTTTTGATACTTTACCTAGTTTCTGAAAGGCATTTTTGTTATTCTTTTGTGAGGTCAACGAACACTCGTTTGACACTTTTGTAAACTCAAATAATACTTTGTAATCACTTTCGTCCGGTCATATCTATCTATCTAAACTCTGTTCATCTCTACCTATCTATATAAAGAGAGAGTGATAGAGAGATAGTTGAGAACCAAGATAGATAGATAGATAGATAGATAGATAGATAGATAGATAGATAGATAGATATGGGCAAACTGCGGCAGATATGTTTTTTATTTTGGTTTACAGTCTTTTGTGATGTCAACGAATACGCTTTGCCACTTTTTTAATGTGAACGAATCATCGCTGCCACGTTCGCAAAGCTCGTTGTAGTAGAGACTTTGTAATCGCAGATCCAACTATAGTAACGCCGTTGAACAATGCTGGTGTCATACGCCTTCGAATAACACTCGCACTAATAGTACTTGCTCCATAGTACTAGCTCGAATAGTAACCACCGAATTGTAATCCGAATAGAGAATAGTGTAGAGAAGTGAATAGAGAATAGCGCTCCGTATAATAATAGATGATAGAATGGAAAAAAATCTGCCTCGTCAGTCATGTATCGAAAGATACATGATCGTCTAAGCGTCTATCACGCATAGCTAAATGATTACACTTTAACCGGCTCCCGTAATATGTATTTCTGAACTGTTTGAGTTTGATAGTAAATATTGATGGAGGAACTGGTATTTCATTTTGCTCACCCAAGAGCCCCTCAATGTAGAGGGTTACCGATTTAGGCTGTTGTAAACGCGTAAAAAGACAAACCTAGAAGTTATGACGGCATATAACAGTGGGCTTTGTAAATTTATGATTATATATAGACAGTTGTAATTTCTTATGCTTACGGGCATGCAAGATCTGAGAATGGAAGAGATCCTCGTCGATCCATTCAAACATTTTCGTTATCGGAGCCGGAGAACAGAATGACTTCTTTCTCTGTGTAGGCACGAGATCTGTGTTGTAAGGTAATGACAACGAGATCGTCGTCGCCATCGTTGTGGTACCTGATGGACCCCTGTTTTCTGCATGAATCCTTTCTACAGGATGACATCTTCGGTGCCATCCAGCTTGTTTTCGATGCAGCATTTCTTGAAGGCTTCGGCAATTATAGCGGCGTCCAACTGTTGTTAGGCGTCGATGATCCACTTGCAGATGTCTTCATGCTCTAGTTTTCTCATTCTACCTCGCGATATGTACGTGTGATTTATCTCCCCTTGTTACAATCCGCCATTAGATAGATAGTTATCTCCCCGATAAACAAATGGATTAAATTTGACCCAATTTTGTACGTTTTGAATCCATGAAAAGAGGGTTTGATTTCTAAACTAATGTATAAGACAACACAGATATTTGGACAAGATTTTTGAGAGAAAATCCTGCATGTTATACAAACAGGGTTACAATAATCTCAGTTTTAATCTTCTTATGGTCTTTTATCCGATGATAAATGATTACTGAGCAGATTATCAGAAACTCGTATATGCGCTGATTCTTGCAATATTGAGTTCCTCTTTCTTCCTTTTCCGTTTCCCTCCACATATGATCAGCTATGCCTGACTTCATAGTCTCCCCATGGACTACGACTTTCGACATTCTTTTTTTAGATAAGCGGCATTATGTACGCATTTCGGGGGTCGGTCAAAAAGTAATGCCTCTTCTTTAATTACGATAGTACAGAATATTTGAAGCACGCTAAAAATTCTAAATTCTACAATAATTTTCGGAATTGCAAATCTTGTCCTCGCCATAGTTTTCTTCTTTCTCAATCGTGTAGGCACGATCTGTGTGGTAGGGTGTCGTCATCGTTGTGGTGGTACCTGACGGACACCCACTTCTGCATGAATCCTTCGTACAGGATGACATCTTCGGTGCCATCCAGCTTGCTTGCTCACTGGCGATCTAAGTTCAAACTCAAGTGTCGGCAGCGAGACTTCTTTCCAATATGACATATTCGTATGTCTTTTCGCACTTCTGTATAAAATTCGGCTTTATCTGTTTTAAACACGACCCACATATGTCCGACTTCTGTTCGACATTATTTTATTTTTTACAAAACAGTGCTCAATGCAAATCATAAATATATAATATATATATATATATGTAATTTTTAATATGTATAATATTAAAAATGTATATATATATATATAATTTTTTATATATATTATTTATATATTATATGTACTTGTTGGATATATCAATGATAGAGCTAACATATTTAATTGGATTGATGTTAGTTTGTGACCTGGGTTTCACACTTTTGTGATCGTCAGACAAACATTTGACTCTGCATTTCAGCCTACTTTCGATCGTCAGAATTTGTCTTGAAACCCAAAATCATAAACTCATCAATCCATATATATATATATATATATATATATATATATATATATATATATATATATATATATATATTTATACCCTTCGCGCAGAACTCTTCATTGCTAATTCAAGAAAGACATTCGGATTACTAACACAAAAACAGAGAATGTCTCATATCAAGAATATTTAACATTGAAAAACATAAGGAAAAAATAATTATTTTTAATAACATGTGGAAAACTCCGCTTTTACCTGAAGACGGTCGCGAGACCAGAAACACGTGTAGTAAAATTATGGAAAATAAAGCATAATATTTTTTTCTAAAAAAAATCCACATTACAACCAAAAACGTTTGCGGCACATCTCTTCTCTTCTTTTTAATATACATACTTTTCTCTCGTTGGAACCACTAAAACCTCTTTCTTTTATATATATATATCATACTCGCTCACTCCCTAAGAACCAAATAACCCACACACATATACTAAACAGAGACACATCCCCTCACCAGGTCCAATAAAACTGTCAAACTGACCAGAGAATTCAGAGCAACATGTATCTGTCCAGCTCTTATCTCAAATAACAACTTAAAAGAGACTGTTTGACCAACACAAGGAATGTTAAAAGATTCATGTTAAAAAGATAAAAAAAAAAACAAAAAAAAAACAAATGAAAACTACAGACAAAAGTTCATTTTCTCCATCATGACATTCATTTCTGTAGTTTAGTGCTGCCAGCAAGCAGAAATATTTCTCCTCCCGATGATGGCCATTTTGGCCGAAACTAGTCGAGGAATCTAAATGGAATAATAATAAAAAACGAAAGAATATTAATCTACAACCCAGTGTGTCTAAAGATTTTAATTTTTTCAATTTTTACTTTTTTTTTTTGTTCAATATATATATATATATATATATATATATATATATATATATATATATATATATATATATATATAATAATTAGTTATAAATATACACATACATATGCAAAATATATAAATATATATACATAGGTGCATTCACATACATGTATATTTTTTGAATAAAAAATTCCAAGAGGATAGAATCCAGGTAGAACTCAATGTCCAGGACAGAGTAAGGATATAATAAAAAGGCTTAAACACTAATATTCCATGGTCATAATTTATTCCATTGGAATCGTAAATACGATCCAATTCATCAGACATACAAATTCAAAAAGAAAACGGAAACTCCAGAAATAAAATTTAGAGAGAGTGTAAGTATGAGTGTGTGGGACGAATGTTAGAGCTAAAGAGACGGGTAAACAGACGAGAGAAGAGTTTGATCAGTTCGATATTGACGTCCACGAAATATAGCTCTCTAAACTCTCCCTCCCTCCCCACTCTCTCTCTCTTTCTACTTTTCTCTCTCTACCTCTTGAACTTCTACTACTACTACTACTGTCTCAAACCTTTTCTCTTTCATTTTGCTCCAATGCTTCTTCGTCCGTCTCTTTCGTCCATTCTTCTTTTCCTGTTTTCACTACACTTGGCCATTCTGATTTTACGTCACATGCTCCCGGCATTCATTCTTTTTCTATCATACAGTCAGCCTCTTCTGTCTTTAAAACCGCCACCAACATCTGTTGTCTGTTTCCACGTCCCAGTTGCCCTGGGGACATAATATCAAGAGTCGTACGACCAAGATGTACCCAGCCAAGCGCGACGGACATCATTACGAATTTATTCACATCTTTGGGAAAATGTATTATCTTTCTTGTCAAAATTAAGCAAATATCTCGATAGACAAATGTCCTTATCGCTTCCCTTGATCGTGCTAGCAACGTAAACTGCACAAAAACATAAACAATCTAAAACTGCGTTCACAACCTGTCGCCAAAAAAAAAAATGACAGAAGTAGGAAAGCAACAAAGCTTTCAAATTCTAACCATGGTCGGCAGAGAAATAAAAACCTTTAATTCGAAGGAAAAATTATATATATATATATATATATATATATATATATATATATATATATATATATATATATATATATATTTTTTAATATTTTTCATATATATATATATATGTATGAAGAAATAGTCATAAGATGTGCTATATTTATAGGATAATGTGCTCAATATCAGAGATAGAGTTGTGTAAATATAAAAGTGAACATAGAAGTCAACATTTAGAGGCGACAGTCTGTTTCATGCTATATGTAATCGTCAGGCCACGAGCCTGTTTCATGTTATATGCAATCGTCAGTGCACTCGTGGCCTGACGATAGCACGATTGCATATAGCATGAAACAGACTGTCGCCTCTAAGTGTTGACTTCTATGTTCACTTTTATATATATATATATATATATATATATATATATATATATATATATCCGATGCGATGAGAACGAAAATAATATATAAATTCCAACGTTCATAGCATTAATCCAAAAGAGAGCTCGATACCGATAGTAGAGCGATATTTATTTATTATTCTAATTTTATCATATAGACAAAATTTTTTGACTACAAAAGATGCAACTTGGTTTCAGTGCATTTTCAACTGCACTTCGACGGGTGAGAATCGAAGTTGAAATGCACTGAA